ATAAAACTATCTAGGAAATAAGCGTGCTTATATAAACTAAAAGATTTATACTCAGAGTTAATTATTTTAATTACCTCTAATTATTATTTATAAGTGCTTATTCTGATTACCTTTAAATATTACTTATAAGTGCTTATCCTAATCACCTTTAATTATTATATTATTTAGATCTAATTATATATATAGTTTAGGGTCTAGTTCTATCTAAGTCTATTATAATTTCTTTATAAAGTACTAGGCAGCTTTATAATACTTATTAGTGCTTAGTGTATTTATATATTATAATATTATCCCTTCCTCTTATTAGCTTAATCTTATAAGTTTAGAATATATCTTTTAATTTTTTAGGATTTCGTAATTTCTTTTTTTATAATGTTTTAACTTATTTATTATATTAATAAATCTTCTTTTAATATTTAGTATTAGGCTTTTTCTAAGAAGATAGCTCTTTAAGGTTATTATATTATTATATTATATTTAGTATATATTTATAATAAGATAATATATCTTTTTTCTTTGTATTTCTTAAAGTATTTATATTATATTATAAAAGGTATTTCTTATAATAAAAACTATTTAAAGAATAACTTTTAACAGTTAAAGTCTAAATAAACTTATTTAAAGACTACTTATTTTTATATTATAATAAAGACTATAAGTTTAGATTAATAAATTAAGTCTCTTTAAAAAACTTAAGATATAATAATTACTTAAGAGGCTTATTTCTTAAAATAAGAAAAGCTTACTTAAGAATTAAAATCTAATATTATTAAGGTTAATATCTTTAATAAGTAAGAATTAATTACTCTAATATTTTTTTTACTTAATCTAAGTTCTAATAATAATAATTTATAAGTATCTTAAGGCTAAGGTTTATCTTTAGTTTCTATCCCTTGTGAGCCCGAATATCCCTGTAATAAGTGTCCTTCCTTGTAGAGCTTAGCGTTAAGAGGTACCCGCGTTTAGCGGTGAGGTTATTTCTGCAGTCTTGGCATTAGGAACATCAAAATTATGGAAGAGTACTGCAGCCTTGGCGTTAAGAACATCAAAATTCGTTAAGACCTGGCTGCAGCCTTGGCGTTAAGAACACCAAAAGTAAATTATAAGAGTAAAACTTTAATTAGCTGCATTAGGCTACTTATTAGGGCTAGAGATCTATAAATAATATCATTTGATAGCTCTTATAAAGCTCTATCTGAATAGATAGGTTTTAGATTCATAAGATAACTAATAAAAGAGGAAAATAAAAAAGAGTAAAAAAGTATTAGTTTTTAAAAATACTTTAAAGACTAACTCTTTATTAATATAAGAGATATAAGTTTATAAATAATATATTATATTAATCTATTTGTAGACTTTTAGAAAAAGCTTTTTTAGAAGTTATAACTAAAGTAGTTAGTAAGTTATTTAAGATTTAAGAGTTTAAAGCTTTTCTATTTCTTGTTTCTATCAAATCTTGGCATCCCACACTAATTAATTCTACTACTTTATATGACCTTTACTCTTTTATTTCTCTACCAAATCAACTCGAAATTGGTTCAAATTGATACTAGCCCTTAGCTCTATCTATTCAACCAACTCTATCCTCTTAAATCAGCTTCTTTTGCTCAGAAATCTTCAAAAATCATTAAAAAACCCCTAAAATCACTCAAAATGTCGATTTCTCCACGAATTTCAGCTCAATCAGCGATAGAATCAAGTGTCAGCGCCTCAATTGCCTTGCATAAACGCACAATTAGCAAGTTATCCGTTGAAAGCGCCGAAAATAAGCCGAATTCCATCGAAAACCCCTTAAATTCACGTATTTTGTGGTCAAAACGTGTACGAAAAGCCTCCCCAATTTTGGAATAGTTACCTCTAGTATAAACTATAAATAAAACAAGATTCATGAAGAAGAAGAAAGAGCCAGCTATCTTTTCGCTATATTTTTAGCTACAGCATCGTGTGGATAGGGAAATTCAAAGCTATCCAATCATCCGGTCCATAGCTACTAGGATAGTTGGTCCTGTCCACACTTGCCTTGGCTAGCTCATTTAGGCTCGACAACTCGAGCGAGTCAAACCACGTCGGCTGGGGCGTGACAAAGACCTTGATGACATCTTTGCAGGACCTATATTCCTTCATCGCGGGAGGAACCGTCATCTTGATTTTCCTTGGTGAAGTTCCCGTAAATCGTAAGTCGTTGCGCCCAGGAACTGCTTCATAGGTGGCATGTAGGATTCCGTTGACGCACCAATAAGGACCTAGATTATATACGTAAACGTATAGAGCTGTGTCTCCCTTGTTTCTTATGACGAGCTCTATTACAGTGCCGTGCCGTACGTCTGCCTGTTCCCCTGGGCCAACCACTTTTTCCCCTATCCTTATGCTAATATCGAATGACCTTTGGAAAGCAGCTGTAGGTGCGTGATTGGTTATGTCCTTGGCCATCTGGAACCTAGCCAAGTGTTCCAGAATATCGCAGATGCGACCAATGTCTGTTTGGTCTTGTGGTATTGCGGGCAAGTTGATGATCTTCCGACCACCTTCGTCCAGGATTTCGTACATGCCGTTGCTCAGCACAAGTTGGAACATTGGGACTTGCTCATTATTAATACAAACATCAAGTGATCGCTCCTTGAGCGCTACCGGCCATTCGTCTTGGCGTGGAAGGTCTGATGCCAGTCGAACAGGAAATTTTGCGAGATACGAGCAAGTGAGCGGTTCCGCAATCCAACCCGTTTGAAGGCTGTGCGGGCTATTGAGCAGCTCCAATTTGGATGTGAGAGGGCCGATGTGGCTGATCTTCGCGGTGTAGGTAACGGCGTCATGATCTCTTGCCGCGCGGAGGGGAGACAATGCAAACTGGTCGTCATTATGGAGGCCATGGGCCAGCCCAGCCATTAGCCGGAAACTTCCCTTATGTTCGACGATGCAGGCGGATCTCGCGCTGCGGTATGAGTCGACTGGGCCAAAGAAGGCCTGGCTCGCGTTTCCATATAGGACGGGGTGCTGTGGCATGCAAGATGCCCAGAACTTGGCGCACAAGTGCCGGTGGATGTCCTTCTGCCGTCTCCCAAGTCCGTGGTCGGACAAGGCCTTGGACAAGAAGTAGGACAAAGCTCCATAACGTTCTCTTTTCTCGCTAGTCTCGGACTCCCCTCCCTTAGCGTTTTCGTGTGGCCCGCACGCAGCGAGGATGGTATACCTATCCGGGTTTAAGAGCCAGTTGTCCAGCATCGACGCATCGCGGTTCGTAGAACGAGTGTCCCCTCTTGTGAGGCTATCTTCTTGGGCCGAAGGGTTTGTCGAGGCTTCCATATCGCTATATGAAAGGTATCGGACATTAGGACTACCGCTACGGTAGACACTGGCTGAGAAGCAGCAGTCTAGAACGACAGTGACGACTAGTCCCTTGTCTACCATAGCTTTGAGGAGGTGGGCGAGTACCGCACCTTGAAGACATACCTCCCGGCTAGGATCCTCATCGAGAAGAACCAAGGCTAAATCTCCGGTCGACTGGTTTGAGCGGTTAAAGCGCGGCTTTCGTCTGGTCCCATGACCAGAGTAGTGAATGTAGATGAAATCTCCCGTCTCTGCTAGAGAGGTGGCCTTTTCGAGAACCAAAGTCACGTTGCGTAATGTAGGCCAGCTCTCAGGGTGTTCGAATGGCGAACCGCCGCTGCTTGCCGTAAGGGTTTGGATGTCAAGGGAATTGATTTTGCTCTCGAGGCATTCCTTGATCTTCTGGACATCTCGGACGCAGCTCCTTAAGGGATTGTTTGGGTAGGCGTCGATACCAATCAGTATTGCGTGATGCGTCGGGACATTGTACTGGCCTTCCATGGCGGCAACCCTTCTGCGTGTGTAATCCAAGGGGCTATCCCCTCCGAGGTCGGGTGGTACTAATA